TAATACTTTATGGCATCTTCATGCTGTCACATTTGAACTCCTATTTGAGTCTCCCAAACAAATCACAGCAGAATAATTTGTTTATACCTGTATCAGTCAGGTACAGCAAATTTTGAGCAGATGAAATATTACTGATATTTAATGAAGGACAAGGAAACCACCTGACAATTTTTCCTGTCAGATTCATCACAGTTATCTTTCTTCCATCGATGACAACAAACAACAGTCCATAGTAGTAAGTCATGCATCCAACTTCCCATACATTTTCTATATTGCTTTCTGGTCCATTGTTAATATCAATAATATATATGTTACGTATCTTTCCGCTGGCCAATGCGATAGGTTTAATATAAGAGACAGCGATATGATCATCTCTTATTATTGACATAAATCTGAATGAAATAATTTCGAAATCGGTTTGTGATTTATTTCAAATTCGCATAAACCAGAACAACTGCATATCATTCGTCATCAGAAGGTCTAATAAGACTGTTGACGTATGGTCCAAACTTTTGTCAACAAGAACATCACAAGAGTGGTCAATATCACTCTAAACTTAATGTTCAGAAGTCAATACAAAAGAATCCATAACAATGAAGAAGATACATATCAACACTTTAGTGAAATGTACGAGATATCAAGAATAAATCTCAAGAACAATACAGGAAGACAAAAACGTGACCATGACACACGAATGACTTAAATATGAGATAGGATCCTTGGTATATAAGTTTAACAATTTTGCTCTTCATGACTTGGTCCTTATATAATTACATATATTCTCAGTACTGTTGTGTAAAAAGTAAAACAACAAAAATAAAGAACTCCAAGAAACAAGAATAGGACCTTGGTAACCCGGGCGACGTCCTAGTCGGTTTGTTCTTTGTATTCTTTGTATCAAGCTACCAAGTTAATGATGCCCTCGGGGAATAATCCAACAACAGTAAAGTTTCTTCTAGGATATCCTCAACAGCTTATGCAACGAGGTAGTCTATCATGCCCATCTCAAACCATGTTATGAAGACATGCCAGTTTGGGCAGAAGCAAGGTTGAACAATGTTTACTATATGATGTTATTCTGAATAAAGCAGAACATTAGATTATAATTTCTTAATCAATGGTAGCAAATGTAACTTGAATTTGCATACAAGAACAGCAATCCGACATTTGTGTTACTTGTTTAACCTCTTTTCTGGTACAGTTATCGTGAGTTTAAAGTTCTATCTAGCATTGACAATATGAAGTCCATCTCACTCTCTAGAATTCATGCTGCATTGATAGTGTGTCTAAAACACGTACTTTTGCTGTAATTTTGTCATCTTTTCAGCCAGCTAAGGAAATGTAAAATGACTTGTTCATGTTGGAAGCGTTGTTAGAAACAATAGCTGTTTTGTTGTGGCCTATCTTGAATGGTGAAGCTGTCCCTTAGTTCAAGTGGCTGCTATTGTATGCTGTGAGTCGACCTTTTACACTCTTGCATGCCAACACGACGAAGTCTAGGATGAAGTGGGCCATAATAGATAGGAAACCCTGTATATGATAAGGTTCGAAATCCTACTTCATACATGAAATTTGTTAGTGTCAACTACTACAGCTTAAAATAAAAACTCTTTAGATACCATTTTTTTTTTTATTTTTGCACGGCTAAAGTTAGTTTAGAGTGGGTAAATTAGTTATATATTGTACCATTGATAATGAAATGCATTAATTTAATTTATAAAACAAGAGAAAGCCTTAAGTTGCTGGGTTAGTATGCATTATGATGGTGGATGATATGAAATGGTTCACTCCACCTATTTTACTCAATTTCGAACAAATTAAAACTTTTATTGAAGTTAACAATAATACAGAACAGGGAACCATTATATAGCATCGTCTTTTCAGTATGTAAACATAAAGTAAGATTGAATTATTCAGAAAAGGCGCTTTATAGTTGTTTTTCATCTTGTCAGGTCTTCAAATATCAAATAATGAGAGTTCACGGACACTCTAAACGCACAGTTTATCATATACCTCTTCACATGTATAGATAGATATACATCCTTGGCTTTCACATTTGGATATCCGCATTCATAATGAAGTTACATCTATAAAAACATTTGCAAAACATTCATAATCAAGTAATAAAAATACCGAACTGTAAGATAAATTTGAAAAGGGGAAAGTCCATAAAAACTTACTAAAATCAATCGTTAGACTTTACTACACAAAGTCATCAAACAAATGGAAAACAACTGTTATATTCCTGACTTGGTACAGGCAAAACATTTATAATAAAGTAATAAAAATACCGAAATGTAAGATAAATTTGAAAAGGGGGAAAGTCCATAAAAACTTACTAAAATCAATCGTTAGACTTTATCGCCCAAAGTCATCAAACAAATGGAAAACAACTGTCATATTCCTGACTTTGTACAGGCATTTCTGTATGTAGAAAATGGTGGATTGAACCTGGTTTTATAGCTAGCAAAACCACTAACTTGTACGACAGTCACATATAATTCCATTATTTTGACAACAATGTGTGAGACATAATAGGTAAAATTGTCAAAAATTGGAGTACAGCAGTCAATATTGTGTTATAATCTTAATCACTATAAAAACAAATAACTATTTCAACAAAGAAAAACAAAATGGCATATAGACAGTATAGACAATATACACAAGCAAAAATGAAAGACAAGATGAGTTGGGAAATTTGTATCCCATATGCAGGTGAAGTTGGTATATTGCTGCTAAGGAGGGGAAAGTTTATAATTTTAGAATTAAAATCGTAACGTTTGTCATAGATTCTGGTACAGAGATGACCACTTACGTCAAATTCGAGGAATAAGTCTAAAAATGAGGCGGAGGAAGCCGTGTCTGTGGTTTCTTTAATTTCTTTTTCAGGAGGATATATTAATGGAACCCAATTAGAAAAGTTGGATTTGTAAATGCAAAGAACATCGTCAATATATCGTAATGTGAAATTAAATGATCTGGCTTCTTTGATCGTTTTGTTTTTGACAAGTGTCTGAAGGAACTGAGGTAATGTAGTCGATTTTTTAGCATATTCAGTACAAGGGAAATTCCTAAACTGATCCTTTTACCTCATACTTGTATTGACTTAAAATGTAAGAAAAGTCTTTTAAACAAAATTTCAGTACGGCATTACTTAATACATTTATTTCAATAAACCGTTGGCATATCCTATCACAGCACCCAACTCCATAGATCACCAGGTGTTTCTAGACCAATTAGATTAAACTAATTGACCATGGCCATGTCCATCGTCAGGAGCCCAACCCATGGAGACACTCATATTCAAAGAAATACTGTTATATGTAAACTTTTATTTTTTTTCAAAGAGAAATTACAAAAATGGAAGTTTTAAATATGTAACTGCAAAGAGGGCGTTATATCCGGGTAATTGCATATAAAATCTTTTTTTTTAGTAGAACGATTAGAAAAACGGGTTTTGGAAGATAGCAAAGGGAAAATCAAAACTCATCAGTCGAAGAGAGACCGACAAAACCATAGCAAAAGAATGCAACTCGTAAAAAGTATATCGACACCACATAATAAACTTCACAGAAATTTGAAAATAAAATTTCACAAAAATCAATGCTAAAAGCACTAAAGAGAAATCAACACTTACTCCTTAAAAACAAAATATGGGTAAACATAGCATGAATCTCCATTATTCACTGCTTCATTGCTTCTCGTGTCATGAAAAATCTAGCTCGGTCTTGTTGTATATCTATTATGTATGTTTACACAATTTTGGCGGCTGTTTCCCAATTATTGCCATATTAATTAATCATGTCTGCTTGGGTTGCTCAACCAATTTTGTCAATATATCGGAACTATAAATAACTGTCATACATGTGGGGGTTTTGCTAGGTATAAAACAAGGTTTAATCCACCCTTTTCTTCGGCAATTAATGCCTGTACCAAGTCGTGAATATGACAGTTCTTTTCCATTCGTTTGTTGGATGATTTGATCTAGCATTTGAATTTGTCAGTTTTTTATGGACTTCCACCTTTTATTATTTACCTTGGAGTTCGGTATTTTTGTTTCTCTAATTCTTTGGCAATTTAACCTTTTCTGAATTTTTTATCATTTTTGGTATTTTCATTTCAATGAAGTCTTAATTGTATATTTATGCTATTTAACAGTAGTGTGGCAACATAAGCTATCGGTTTTTCAGGAAATTCTTTTCTGTGTAGATTGTTTGATATTGCAACAAATCTTTGGAGATCTTAAATTTAAGCTATATCCCTGTTTCCAATGAAGAATGCGCCTAAATACTACTTCAAACACAGCATTTATAATGGATACGTATTGATTCATATGATATAAATTTATATGCAGTGTCACATGTAGTTGTATTTCGAGAGTAAATGCCTTAGTGGACAATTAATACAGAATATTTCAAACTTCTGAAGTGTTTGCTTCATTTCATATTACCTAGCTCTTTCAGCATTTCTTTAAGGAATGACTGTAATATTTTTTCTGTCTATGAAGAAATAACATAAAAAATTTGGTGCACACTGAATAACCCGCGTAGCGGGTTATTTTAAAGTCTGCACCACATTTTCTATGTTATTTCGAATAGACAGAAAAAACATTACAGTCATTTCTTATAATTTAATTCTAAATTCCATTTTAAACCGGAGTAAATTATGAAAAAACGTTGACGACTTCACGGTCACATGATTAAATTATGTCTATGAGCTGATAAACAAAACACCGTCAGCCAATCAGAAGACGCGTTACATCCAAAATTAAATTATATCTGTATAATCTCTCTCTTACATTTTTGCATGGTGAATTTTGGGTGATTACAATTTCATAACAGTTACATTAATCACTTCATAAAGCACTTCATAAACTGCTTCATGATAGTTTTTTTTTTATTTAAATCTTAAACTTGATATATTTAATTTCAACCAATTAGACGTATGAAAGCTAAGTATGGTTTAATTTGATAGCGATTGATTCTTCCTATACACATGTATTTAAATAGATTTTAGGAAAGGAACACTATTATTGCAAATAGAGTTCGTCAAATCCTTATAAAATCTTTTTCATATTGTTTCCAGTCTTAAAAATCAAGATGAAATTATCTGGAGCCATATTATTTGTTGTAACAATCAACGGCCTTTCCGATGGTTAGTGAATTTGATAGTTATAGATTTACCTTATAATACATACAAACTTTTGTGAATCTGTAAACGACTGTTTACATTCAATGTTTTAGTTTTACTTACTTTGCCCTGCTGTGACTTACGTAAGGGGAAGTATACGTAATTGTCTGCTACAAGTAGAATTCGGGTTAAAAACTTGCGTCGTTATGGGGACACAGGATATCTTCATTACTACAAGAAAGGAAAAATGTTACCGCGTTGGACTCTCCGGAAAGCGTAGACCAACAGTGTAACGCAATAAGTATTTGTTATATCAACATGATCAACTATCTTGTTACATATGTTTTATAGAAACAATTCATGGTTTGATTTGAAATTGCCCGTGAAATATTAATACGATTTATCGTTTATTTTATGAGCAACCATTTGTACTAAACATGCCAGAGAAAACAATCATTCCATTGGTCTGCAAGTGTGTCACATGGTCTTTTACCTGGTTGCCCAACTTATCTGACGCCATTAAAAATCACGAATGAAACAGCGCGACGTGTCGATATTTCACTGTGAAAAAGAATTTAATATTGGCAATATATTCGTCTTTCTGCTAATCGTGGTGAATGTGTCCCTTATAAGCTTTATAAATGTTAAAATGCCTTATGTAATCGATTCCTTGCTACGGGTGGATAAAAACTTTTTAAAGTTAACAAATACGCTTTTAATAAGTAAAAATAGTTAATGGATTATGGAATCCCCAAATTCTTCATGTGACAGAAATGGTCTAAACTTGTGATAAGAGTAATACTTTATTATGTTCCCAAACATGTTACATTTAAAAAAATTTTAATTTTACCACTTATTATTCATTTTATATCATTATATGTTTATAAAACAGAACAGCCAAAAAAAAAATAAAATGCGGCTGATTGGAACCTGAGCAAAGCCGGGGAGAACATGAAAGTGGGTGATCGAACATGATTGTGATTGCGAACTATGTATACACGGATTCTACTTTTAACTTTAATTGCAGTCGTAACATTCTACAAGATAATACACAATTTTCGTATTCGTGTAAATGCTGAACAAATTTTGAAGAAATATTTTCCTTTAGGACTGCAAATCTGTTCTGCCGTCAAACATGAAATATCGTGTTTTGTCATTTTGGTGAAAAAGAGGAAGCGATCGGGACAGAACCTATAGCGAAATCAAGATAGAATTGTTGCGCATGCATGTGTGTAAACAAGTAAAAATGTTTCGGGTGTAAACAAGATCATGCGCGATACCTCTAATTTATAGCACAGGAAATGGTGAAAATGAATTTTAAAGAGATGCGGAAGATGCTGCTTATTTACTATGGGAGCATTGAAAATTAGTTAGTGTATTTTCCTATCAATTGGGTACGCTTGGAATACTTAACAAAATGACAGATATACAATCATGCTTTTCATACGACATGACACAACAGTGCTCTAGCGCAATGCGCTATAAGTTATGGCGACGTAGACTGTAGACATCAAAAACGTCGCATACATGTGTGTAAACCAGCAAAAATGATTTTGGGTGTAGAAATATCGTGCTTTGTCATGTGGGTGAAAAGAGCAAGCGTTCGATACAGGAACTATGGTGAAATAAAACAAGACAGAATTGTTGTGCATTGATGTTTGTAAACAAAAAAAATGGTTTGCGCAATATCTCTCATTTGTAGTACACGAAATGATGATAATGAATTTTAAAGCTATGCAGAAGATAAGGCTTACTTTTATTATCACGGAAGCATTTTAAATTAGTTAGTATATTTTACTTACAATTGGGTATGCTTGACATACTTAAAGAGGTGTTAAAACGCAAAAAACATGTCTGAATAATTTTAAAGTTCGAAATAGTCGCTGAAAAACGCAAAAAACACGATAAAATTTTAACTTGTAATTATCGAGATATTTGCAAAAATACTTTCTGTTCGTCATTTGCACACCTGAACGATCTAGTAAAACATGCTACTAACACCCTCTAATTCTACCCAACGGAAGTGACGTACAGTGGGTCACCCTGATCAAATACGTGTATTATATCGTATGTAAACAGATCAGCTCGCAAAGTAAAATAATAGTTTTGATATATATTGGTGACAATTACCAACCGAATCTACATTGAGAATATTGATATACAATTATCGAGGTTCAATAACTGCATAAATATTATAATCATATGTTTATAATCAGAAAAGTATTGAAAAAATTCCAAAAGCACAAATCAACCTATTTTTCTATAAAATATTTAAATGTGCATCCAAAAGTGGCAAAATAATGATTAATCAGTTTATTGATGGTGATCGCGTAATGGTAGAAGCAGAAGTAGAACCGTGCGTGTGAAGTTCCATGGCGGAGAAACAGCTTTTAAAATAGGACACTCCCAACACGTACTTCCAAAAGACGACGGAGGACGTAACCTTTTGATTTGTTGTTAAATCAAACTACGTGGGTTTTTCTAGGCTACAAAAAACTGCCATATGAGAAGTTCACTTTTCAGAAGAGGTTATATAGCCAGTTAAAAGGTTGAGGCTAAACTCATGTTATATCGTGACATGTGATTGCGATAATTAGAACAGAGACATTTATCTGATTGCAGACACATGTGTATAAATTTCTCTGCTATAATGTACATTTCTACTTTCTTTAAAATGTTCTTACTTACTTACCGACGGACTTAAGTAACAGCAGCATTTCAAAATTATATGAGATTATTCTCCTGATAATGTGAAGAATTGCGTACTGTCAGTCACAGTAATCTGCTTGACTTGTTTAGAAACCTGAATATGTATTCAACGAGCTATTTCCACAAAAATGAAATACTGGAGAGACTTGTAATTGACCTATACAGAAATTTAAAAATCAAATAAAAGTTTACAATGGAAATCAGTATAAGTATATATGATTGTCATAGGGTTTCCCATAGTCCTTAGACCTAATGTAAGAATATTGTTATATACTAATGTTATATCAGGTCCCAGCATAGTCCTACATAAGGACAAATGTAGGACAGAAAGTCACAGTAAAAAAAATCACAATTAAGTTTTGAGTTTATTCTTTTTTTGAATAAGAAAACATTTATTTTCAAAAAGCTTTTTGTATTTTCCCTAACTTTTATATATGTGGCAACTTTGTAAAAAAATTTATTCTGAAAAAATCAATAATGAGAAAATAATTGTTAAGATAACAATTTGTCAAAGTGGCTTGATACTTAAATGGTTTCACGGTGCCAATTAATATATCCTTTGCATGCATAGAATTTGACAACTCTTCATTACTCAAGGTTTATGAACAATTTCATAAACTGTAAAATGCATATATGAAAAAAAAAAAGAATTTCAATAAAAAAATTTTATGTATTCAAACAATAATAAACAAATAGTATGTGTGACTTTTTGTCCTATCAAATTTTTGACTTTTTGTCCTATCAAATTTTTGACTTTCAGTCCGCGTTTGCCATATTATACAATTGTAATCTATGTCTGTGTCCTAACAACAAAAACCTCTGAAATAAAATCTTTAGAAAAACGGGTGTGCATTCCCAAATTACTTATGTCCTAAATCCTAAATGTTATGATTACACCAAAAATTTTGTTTGTTAAATAAAAACATTATAATATACTGTCCTTAAGGTTTTGAAATATTGACCTTTTCTTTCATTTGAAAATTTAAGCAATGACAATTAAATAAATAAACAATAAAAATATTAATCCTCTCGGTCACTTTTTGATCCAGGTAATTAAGACAGTCCGTATTTTGACACCTATTGATAAGTAAACATCCTGTATGGTAATAAAGATCAAACAGGGTAAACAGTAGCTATTATCCCGCCACTCAGGTAATTAACAAATTGGCCATGCAGAAATGCCACCTGTTGTTTATAAATTGATGAACTTTATAGTTTGATAATTAATATTATTAGAAAGGTATAGTGAAAACCCGTATTTTAACTTTAACTTTAATTTTTATAACATGGAAAAGAAGCCCGACCGTCATATCTTGTCAAGATGTTATGCTACTTCACGTACATGTAAACATATACAATATTTATCCTCGACTCAAAAATTTTTTTAAATTTTTATTAATAGATAGAATATAGTATATTGACCGTTAATTTTTCTCTGTCCTACGATCAGGAACATTGTTTTTAGTTGAAAACTCAATGTTGAATTACCCAAACCTCATCCCGCCCTTTTTTTCAATTGAAACACATTATTAAAACATTTCCCTTCTGCAACATATTTTTTTCCTTTTGATAAATTAGTCATAATAAAGAATGAGCTTGGAAGGTGTAACGAAATTCATTGGCAGTGCTTTTTAATCAGCGATCAGGAGAAAGTTCATTAATAATCAACGTTTAGATAAGCCGAAGAAGTAACCAACTGTGCGTCACTTCCGGTAGATTTATTGTTAGTGCTGTTTCCGGAAGTAGCGTTGATTGGATTTTCCTAAGGTAAAAAAACTTAACACGCAATTATCACTGTAATTAGTGGACCAAATTGCATCGGTTTTTTGCATTTTTGATCATCTATTTCGACCTTTTAGATAAGAGTTACTTGTTATGTGTGTTTGAGTACCTCTTTAATAAAATAGCAGATACACAATCATGCTTTTCATACGGCATGGCACAACAGTGCTCTAGCGCAATAGCGTTATAAGTTATTTTGGCGTAAACTGTATACATCAAAAACGTCGTCGAAATATTTTCCTTTTTTCCGCTACATCATAACTTGAATTCATTATAGCTAGGTTAACAAGGACTTGCTTTGCTCCGATATTGTCGTCATGCATTTTTAAATCTTTTTTTTTTATTCTGTGAACTCGTTAACTGGAGAATCTTAATAATGTAAAAATATCTGCCGATTTTCATGACTTAGAATGAAAGTCTTATACCTACCTTTTTAATCGTGGAAAGGGAGACCCCAAATTCATAACGGCCATTTATGATAAAAGGACTGAAAAGGATAATGCCTGACTATGAAACATGAAATTATGCTCAAATAATACACAAGAATCAATCTGAGCTGTCTGATTGACCTTTTTAGCACCTTTAGATCTTTCTAATGAACACTAGATTTCTCTTCAAAGTGCAGTAAAATCAGATTCAAAATGTACATTAAGGGTTTTTTTATGTTGCAAAAACACAAAAGAACAAAAGGATAAGCAGAGGAAATGTTCAATAAAAAAGGGTCTGGATGGGGTTTCAGAATAGAGAATAATAGGCATCAGTGCAAAATAAAGGGTTAAAAAACAAAACAATAGACAAACTAGACAAACAAATAAGAATAGAGAATAATAATGGGGCGTACAATTATTCAGAACAGAGAATAATGTGCAAAATGAATATAGCATAGAGGAAATGATCTAAAAAGTAAGAGAATAAAGAAATGAGGGACAACCTTATACATAATTCCTGAAAATTAAGTAATTAGATATAATCACTAAAGTAACCAGTGATTATACACAATCCCTGAAAATTTCAGGGATTATACATAATTCCTAATTCTACAAATCATTTATCAACAAGGTCTTGGTTTCTTCCGATGAATCTTTTTTTAGAAAGTATTTAATTAAATTGCCTTTTTGTCATGTAACTATGAATTAATTTTCAATAACTTTCAATAACATTTAATTGTTGATTTGACATTTTAATCAATTTTGGTTTTTCTGATGCACTCGCATATCATGATTGAAACAGGATTTATTTATTAGTCGTATTTGGCTTTGAACTAGCTTTCAGTAACTGCGAGTTCTCTTATTTCTATGCTTTGTTTTATATTAGTTGTTTTTGTTCTTATGTTGTGCTGTCCCAGGTTAGGGGAGGATTGCAGATTGAGCAATCACAAACATGTTGAGCCCCGCCACATTCTGTATGTGCCTGTCCTAAGTCAAGAGCCTGTAGTTTAGTGGTTGTCGTTGGTTCATGTCTGTCATATTTGTTGTTCGTTAGTATTTTTGTTAAATCAGGCCCTTGGTTTTCTCTTTTGTATTGTTTCAAATTTTTCATGTTGAGGCCTTTTATGACCGACTATTAGATATAGATTTTGTCATTTTTGAAGGCCGTACTGTTGCCTATGATTGCTTACATACATTCATTTGCACTCTGGTGGATAATTGTCTCATAGGTAGTCAAACCACACCTCCTTATTGTTTTATAAACAATCTTAAAATAATGAACAAAACCAATTAAATTATTGACATGATTGACATTCTAACAATTTATCACAATTTAAGGCGCTTGAAATTTCCAGTCACGTAACTAATATTTCAATATAAAACTGCGTCTTTATTAAAATGCCAAAGGCAAATTTGTATATTAAAACATTATAAATGTATGCTAAATTCTATTTGGGTGAATATAATTATAAAAACACCTTCTACATTTTTATAGCTAGCAGTCAAAACATACAAGAATGGAATCCAATATACTTGACAACTTTTACTTGCCAAAAGACAAGTCTGAAAAATACTATCATTGATATCCTTTAATAAGTGGAAGCTTGAAAGTTATTTTAAATTTTGTGACTTACATGAGGGTAAAGAAAGAAAACCTTAAAATCTATAGTGGATATTTTTAGCAAAATAATGAAATTTTAAGAAAAATATTTTAAGAAAAAACATTATATTCATTTGAATTAAAATATATATCTGCTAAATATATATATATATATATATATATATATATATATATATATATATATATATATATATATATATATATATATATATATATATATATTTAAAAAAAGAAAACATCAATCAAAGAATAATTTAATGATATATTCAAGTATAAATTACACAGTTGAAAATGGCCAAATACGGAATATTGTTTTCACATCATAATATGTATATTTGATTCAATCACGCTACAAGTAAACCTTTTTGAAAAACTCCAAATATTTTAGAAAATTAATCGAAAAGGCCAAATAAAAGAATCATGTGTCAAATTAAATAAAGAAAGGTCGAGTGAATTGCAAATTATTTTAGAGCATCAACTAAAACTAGTCAAAAATCTATGCATACCAATTAGGGTCAGACATGCAAATGAGAGAAATGTTAAATAGTGCCCATATGGAAGTTTCATTTTAGCAGGTTGTCAATTTTATCCTATATGATATAGCTATTATATGTTTTAGGACAAAAGTCATTGAAATGTAATTTATTACATTGGCAATATAATTTAAATACGTTAACTCACATTTAAAAATAAATGTAATTGTACTGTAATTGATTTCTTAACCGTGTAATTGGCCACGTAAGAAAAAATACTGTACTCGTTTTCATTTAAATGATTGATGAAAATAATGGGTAACAAAATGAAAATATTGCAAAACATTCAGATATATGTATCTGAAACCTTTAAACTTGTTTAAGGGAAAACTCTTCCCAGAGTATCAAAAAATCCATTATGCCCAACACTTGTTTCTAAACTATGCAACACTTATTTTTGTCAGTCAAACCTTGAAAAAAAGCTGATTGGATATGTAAAATCAAGTTGCTTTTGTTTATCGACGGTTTTTTTTTTTCATTGTGTTCATATCCTCTTGATTCTTAGTATTTCTGCCTTTCAACTCGTCAGAAATTTTAGATGTCAGGTAGAGACATAGAGGAAACGTCAAATATCGCTACTGCAACAAAAGGGTGAACAAAATGCTTAATCAGCTTTCTAAACGCTAAATGATGTTTATTTGTTGTACACCATGGATCGAGATCCAGATCAAATTTTTTTTTTTCTTTTCAGCCTTCCAACTTTCGAAAGACGCAAAAGGTGAAAATGCCCTGGTTCTCAATGAGACAACAGATAAAAATGGTAGTATTTACAATCACCGAATGCATATTGTTTCCTTGAATTTTATTGTCATAGTATATAATTTTTATAGCTTGTTAGCATTTCAATATTGATAAAGTATTTTATGAAAGAACAAAATATTTTGTGCAATAAAAAACCAGAAAACCAGGGGTTATTTTTAGTAGTACTTGTATTCCGAAGGTCAGTTACTTTAAAGGTAGTTTGAAAATTGGTATGTAGAAATGTGATACATGTACAATTTAGGATATACCTGGTTTCTATGAAATCAAACTTAAGATAAAATGTTAAGAAAGCTGTGAAAATTGAAAAATTTGGTTGAATAGATAGGGATTTTGAATTGGTGGTCTGACACCTTTATAGCGAAAAGCGGTGAAACCAAAAAATTAGAAAACAATTGATTTTTTGGTCCTAACTGATCATTTGAAATGCAAGTAGCCACATTTCAACCTTTTTTGGGGGGTTAAAAAGACACGAATTGCAAAATTAGAGCCATAAACCTGAATTTGTGCTATTTTTAGCTTTTCCCACCCATACAATATGAATTCATATAAAAAATGTCTGAAATTGTTATGAATGCACAGTAAATTGTTTCTATAGTATTAAACATTAAAACATAGGTTGTTTACTACCAAAAAAAATTGTCGTCATGAAGACTTTATCAGGTAATTTGATTTTTATCTGTTATGTCATTGCGTCATTCTATGTATTTGGCAGATAGCATAGCTTAATGTAAACACTGCATAAATTCACCCCAATTCCATAAATTGTCTCAAATGAAAGTTTTCGACTTTAAATTTTATTGACTGATAGTAAATAAAAATTGTTTCATGAGCATAACTGCATTATTGATCAATTAATAGTCCATTACTGACATCTGATGAAAAAGGGGGGGGGGGGTCAATATTCCTTGACACTTCAAAACCTTTGATTTTTCACTGAACTCATTGTAAAAGTTGTGCAAAGTCTTTAAAGCAGTAAGACTAACAAGGGAAAATCAACCAAAATTGATCTTGATATTGAAAGTTTATGTTCCTGTAGTCTGAAATTAAATTTCAAGTATTTCTATTAAAGTCATATTTTACAGTCAATTTAAATTGAGCTGTGAATTTTGCAATATAAGTCGCATTATACTCAGATAGGATTTTTTTTTACTACAAATTGACCAAGGATTATGAATAAAGCAAAACAAAAGACTTCTGATAACATTTTTTGTCTCTTTAGGTGTCAGACCACCAATTCACTCCCTCCAATTTAGAACGTATGTAAAAGTAGCCCTACTCTGACACATCATAGTGCTTTTAATGTCATTGTTTACTTAAACTAACTATCACATTTGCAGAAATGAAACTTTTGGTAAAAGAAAAATATATTTAGATCATTTTGGGCTAAAATTTACTTGTCTATGAGTTTGCATTAAAAATTGAGGATTAATGCGCTCCATAGTATACTTATTTAAGATTTCCAGAAAACCAGGGGTTATTTTTAGTATTACTTGTGTTCCGAAGGTCAGTTCTTTCTTGTAAGACTTTAAAGGTAGGTTGAAAATTGGCATGTAGAAATGTGATGCATGTACAATTCCGGATATACCTGGTTTCTATGAAATTAAACTTAAGGTAAAATGTTTAGAAAGCTGTGAAAATTGCTAAATTTGGTTGAATAGATAGGGATTTTGAATTGGTGGTCTGACACCTTTTACTCTATTATTTCCTGCTTCATTGCTAATCATGTCATGTAAAAATCCAATCTAATTAAAATCAAATCCTTGGGTTTTAATGAGATTTATAAAAATCAAGTTATAGAAATACACTAAATATTAAAGGGAAGAAGAGATTGTTGCTATGGCAAATGACATATATCTACGGTCATCTGTGACACGTATAATCCGTAACTGTCAAATCAATATAATGACACCCATTATTTTACTTTCGTGAAAATGACTGCAAGATTACATGAACATTATACAACGTAAGATGTATATTAAAACACTATATCTCGATTCGTCTTTTAATATTAAAATTCAAAATGGTTTTTTTTCAGGATTTCTTCGAGAAAATAGATTGCGAAAAAGGTCTAGTTCAGATGACGTTGGTATGTGAAACAAAAATTTCTAAAATGCATGAGTTGTACCTGTTAGAGTAAATATAATCACCGACACGTTCATACTTAGCTGTTTATGAAAACTTCAACAAATGCGCTTCATACTGAAATCCGAATTATGTTGCTGAGTGACTTATATATGATGCATGTTTCTGAAGTCCAATTAAATGATATGTATGAAACTATTAAATATAACTTACAAATATTAACCCTGTATGTTGTAGATATCAAAGCAGTTGATATGTCTTTATCTTTGCAACGTCAAACAATACAATATGCAAGACAGGGTACAGATCGTTTTAGCAGTAGGGCCGATATTGCAGAATATATTAAGGACAACCTAGATGGACATGGTGGCGGAAAGTATCATTGCATTGTTGGAACATCTTTTGGGTACTCCATTACGTTTCATCAGAGATATTATTTTTATTTCAAACTGGGTGATTATTACATATTGGTATTCAGACATTGACAAATATATATGCCAAAAGCTTAATACGTGAAACTGTGACTTCATAACATTAACTGCTTGTTCAGTTACCAAATGTCATTTTAGCAACATTTCGTATAGTATCTATTATTTTCCCTGTATACTGTTTATAACTAATAAAACATTTTTAAAATACATTCTTTGTGACTGTTAGTTGTAATTTTTAAGCAAAATAAAAATATTAACAAAATGGTTGACCTCTAATGAAGTTGCCATGTAGTATGCCATTCCGTTTTCATGAGACTGTAATGTTCGGGAAATAGTGAGATCCTCTTAAAATGTACTGAATTACAAAAAAATTACTGCTGTAAAGTATGTCAATCTGATAAATCTGAAAGTAGTATACCAAAATCAGAAAAGATATATTAAGTCAATTGCTTTATTTATAGATATTGTCTTACTGGGCATCTTTCTGCCTTTAAAGTTTCTTTCAATCTATGATAGTTTTCAAGATAATATGCAACAACTCTAAAAAAATGGTAAAAATCTTCATTAAAGGTAAAGTACTCCAATAAGGAGCCGACTAATGATATCGGCAATGAAACATGTAGATTTGTCTTGCTTATCAGTTTTGCTATATAAAGTGTATGTCTAGTCTATCTGTTATAATTTTCAAGATTATACGCACAAAATGAAAAATAAATATTGGTAAAATTCTTCATTTAAGGTCAATAATTCCAACAAAAAGTCGTCTGACAGTTTTGTTGCAAAAGGACAGAGAATGGATCTCATCATTTTTCACATTTAGTCCAAGACCGATTTTCTCTATTTATAGTGGTTATCATGATAATTACAAAACCCCAGGGCATATGCTCTATTTTTAACCATGTCAGCCATGTTAGTTGGTAGGCGGGGTCATTCGACTGATTTTTTAAACTAGATATTCCAATGATGATTGTGGTCCATATACAAATAAGGAGATGAGGTATGATTGCCAATGAGACAACTATCCACCAAAGTTTAAACAAAGTCGATGTAAGCACTCATAGGCAACCGTACGGCCTTAAACAATGAGAAAAACCCATACTGTATAGTCGGCTGTAAAAGGCCCCGACATGAAAAATATGAAACAATACAATTGAGAAAACTATCGGTATAATTTATAACATAACAATTAAAGAAAAACAAATATGACAGACATGAACCAACGACAACCACTGAACTACAAGCTCCTGACTAAGGACAGGCACATAAAGAATGTGGCAGGGTTAAACATGTTTGTGAGCGCTCATCCCTCTCACTAAGTTTGTTTAAATTTGGTTTTAATTTAAGTAATGAACAGTAGTTATGTTTTACAGCCTTTCATGAGAAGTTCTTTTATTTAGGTACGATTATATTTCTGTTCATGAGCGTGTTGTACTAAAACAATGTCACAAAAAAGCAAAGCGTGTCCAATGAGAAACGTAAATGACATTGACAGGGTTGATTGACTGGAAGGAATGTAATGGTCTTTAAGTTGTCTTATTTATGACATTCCCCATTTTTGAATTTACCTTGTATTTTTGTCAGAACTATACTGTTCTATCTCCACACACTTCCCATTGAATAATAATAGCTTATTCATCTTTTTGGACACTCAAAGTTCAGAGAAAAATATTTTTGTATTATAAATGGTTCTTCGAACAAGAAGGAGTTTCTCGACAGAAATCTCATCGAAGGGCGACAGTCCTGAGTGAGATGTAGGCGGGAAACATCCTCGAGTTTGAAAGACCATTGATAATCTGTTGATAGTTATTTTCCTAGGTAATGTCAAGGACGTAGGCTTATGACGTCATACATTCTCTTTCCGCTCGACTAAGAAAATTCTATATCACTTGAGTAGCGTGATATGGAAACCTTAAGGAAATAACGATAATGTTGTATCGCCTTCAACAATGAGAAAAACCCCATACTGTATAGTCAGCTATAAAAAGCCACGACATGAAAAATATGAAACAATTCAATTGAGGAAACTAACGGCCTAATTCATAACAAAACAATTAACGAGAAATAAATATGACAGACATGAACTAACGACAACCACTGAACTACAGGCTCCTGACTTGGGACAGGCACATAAAAAATGTGGCGGGGTTGAGCATATTTGTGAGCGCTCGACCCTCACCTAACCTGGGACAGTGTTGTAACAGTACAACATAAGTACAATATATAAAAATCAGTTGAAAAAGGCTTAACTCATCAGATGGATACAAATAGAAATACATCAAACAAAAAACACAGAGTGGACGTGGACTGGTACTTATACATCCCCACAAAAAAAAACACTAAGTACAGATCTGAGAGTACTCTCAGTTACTCACAGCAAGTTCAAAGCCAATAACAATTAATAAAAAAAAAATCATGTATCTAAGACTACAATATCAATCAGTACACATTCAACATCCAATGGATTAAGTGTAAAGACGTCATTAACAGTTAGAGAAAAAAATATGACCTTGTGCAATGCCAAACTATAGGTATCGACAGATTATAGTACAGTGAAAGTCAATATATGTAATATTTAGTATGGTTTTAATTTACTGATAACAAAAATCAATATTTATACCAATATAAACAATAATTAAAGATTTAATTACAGTGTTGAATAGGTAACCTTTTAGAACAAATTTATTTAGTGGATTGATAAGTTTACCCGGATCGTATCTCTATTTCCGGGCTCGGTTTACAACATCACCATAAAATTTATGATGTGCTATACCGTTTGAAATCAGTTTTTTACAGGTACAGTCAAACTTGTAGACCAAATCTTTGTATTTATGGAAGAATTTTGTAAACGTTTTAATTAATTTGTGGTTACCAAATCCCTGACTTAATAATTAACTAGTAATACATAGATTACGCTCACTGAATTCCAAAACGTCACTACAGACACGAGCATAGCGAACGAGATGGGATATATAAACACCGTAAGTCGGTACCAAAGGAATATCACCGTCCAAAAAGGGAAATTTAACAATAGGGAAAGAAAATTCATCCCTTTTGTCGTAAATTTTTGTGTAGAGTTTCTGGTGTAATACTGAAATATCTAATTCTAGGAAAGGACAGTTATTGCTGTTTATATTTGATTTATTTAAAGTTAGTTCCTTTGGGTAAATTTCAGCAGTATATTTAGAGAATTCTTGATTATTTTACGGAAAAATATCATCAAGATAACAAGTTGCCGAAACGTACATAAATGTTGTAAAGGAGAAAATTTATCGTCACATCATACCTCCAGTAAGTATATCTAACATATTCACCTTCTCATTAGAGAATAAAGGCATTATATGAGTTGCAGCAAATAAATTTGAAACCACATTTATCATACGACCATTTAATTAGATAGGAAAACTTTTGTTTAATAAGATTGTGTGGAAGTGTAGTATAAAGAGTGGAAAAGTCAAAACTGTCAACCGAATCAAAAGGATCATAAAAATTCATTTTTCTAAAACATCCCAAAAAAATTTTTACACTCCAAAAATTGTTAATTAGACTGTTTCCATATGTTATATTACAAAAATTAACGATAAGACCTTTGATAGTAGTTAAGAAACTCGTTAAAAGCACTGAAAGATTAGTAGAGGAACACTTACTAGAGGCCGAGATGAAATGATATGTTACGGGGTTTGTTTTGTAGTTTAGGTAACCAATACATAGTTGGGACCTTCAAATGTTCAGAGGAGGCCTTAAGCTGAGCTGTGGTAGTGACATGATTATTTACTATATGACTCTATATAGAAATAAGGCTATGTGGTATGAGTGCCAATGAGACAACTCTCCATCCATGTGTGAAAAGTAAACAATTATAGATCAAAGTACGGCCTTCAACTCGGAGCCTTGGATCACACCGAACAGCAAGCTATGCTTACATTTTTTGCATGATTTGAACAATCAATTCGAAATGCTCCACAAAGCAAGCATACAGAATTGGAGATATGACAGAATTAAAAAAGGCTATGATCAATTACATTTTTGGCATTGTATTGTTCTATCTCCAGATAAGGGGGGTGCTTCCTTTGTTGAAGGTGCTTGTTTATTCAAAAATAATTGAACAAATAATTGCTCCTAAAAATATCTCAGTCAAATATTTATGATATTACGCTTTCAAAATTCATATTCAACTACCCAACATTCAGAAACTACATCATCTTAAAACTCACACTATGAAATATCAAGAGGATCGTTTGGGTTTTTTTTTGTAGTAGTGTTAAATTCAAGTTCACTTGAGATAAGAGTTCACACTGACAACATTTTGTTCGGGATGCTCTGATTTAAGTTCGAATTATTGTGTTTAATTATTTTTTTCTTTCGAATATTGTGTTGTATGCTCTTCTTTATTTTTATTTTTTTGTGGTCCTCCGGTAGTATCTTCGTTAATTTTACAGTTGAAACACCCAACAAAACTTGTGAACCAGAAATCACAAAGTTTTGAGTTAAGTCACGTCATATTGAGTATCTTTTACCTTATCGTATACTGTTAAAACAAAACAGAAAATTATTGCAGGCAAATAATTCAATAGATCCTTTTGAAGGTGTAATTTTTATTATATTTCTACTTCTCCTAATCAAGAACTTCTATCTTAACAATACAAACGGAAATGAAAATTTTATTTAATATCAGCTAGGAAGCAATGATAAACAAAGAAACCATGTCATTAAATCAACAAAAAATCAAACCTTATTGGCATATCCATATTTCATAGTCAGCTATATTGATTAAAAATTAAACCTGAACTCACAGACTAAATATATGTAACCGTATCAATATGTAGCATAAGTCTAAGAGAGAAGTCCCAAACAGACAATTGAGGTCGTCATAACGTTTGGTTATCAAGGACAGTAGGAATATCATAGTTTGAGTTAAATTCTGACAAACAGTGTTGGTCCACAGTAATCGAAACCAATTTTGATTGCTGTGATAAACAAGAAAGAACACCACTTTGAGTATGATGCATACCTTGGTGCAAGCACATAATGTGGTATTATTTAATGCGGATATCCAGAGTTAAATATAAAACATATAAAACACCAGTAAATAAATTTCACTCTTAAAATGGTCATTTTGATCTGAGCATTTTCTAACCTGACAAGAGTGTTCATGCTGAAATGGCTCTCTGTTTTACTGATTATGAATGAGTTTATGTTGAAAATCTTAACG